AATCCCCACATAATATGGTGGAACCGGTGGGATTCATTGAGGCGTGGAAGGCGCAGTTCCCAGAGTCAGAGCCCCCCAAGATGGAGCTGCGGTCTGTCGGGGGCATCGAGCAGGAGCTGGAAAAGTGCAAAGCATCCATTAGACGCCTGGAGCAGGAGGTGAACAAGGAGCGCTTCCGCATGATCTACCTCCAGACCCTCCTGGCCAAAGAGAGAAAGAGCTATGACAAACAGCGGTGGGGCTTCAGAAAGACACCTTTGAATGAGGGGATGGACCCTGCAGCCACACAGGGTGCTGAAATCCAATCCCAGCAGCCACACATGCAGGAGACTGGTGTAGTTGGCATAGGAGGAGGTGGTGGAGGATATGGTGGTGGTGGTAGTGGAGATAGGAGCCGTTTTCAGCCTCTAGGAGATGGATCTGGCAGGTCCAAACCCAGACCTCCACCTGCCAGGAAGTCAGCCTCCCACGGTGATGGCCTGGAGTCAGCCTTTGATGTACCTCAGCAAGCAGAGTCAACTTCCTGCGACAACCTCGATGGCCTGTCGCCATCAAAGCAGAGAGGTGGTGTTACTGTGTCACCCCGCAGGCCCACCCTTCCACCCCCAGACAAGGACCTTCCCACTGACCCCAAGGACAAGCTTGGAATGGGACTTGGTGTGGCAGCTCTTAGATCCAACTTTGAGAGGATCAAACGGGCGAACTCGCACTCAGCAGGTGATGTAGCTAAGGGCCAGGAGAAGCAGCCGCTGCCACCACCACCGCTATATACCAACATGGAGTTCCACCATGACAGGGGTTTAGTCAGGGTCAATGACCGTGATGTCTCTGACAAGATCAGCTCACTAGGCAGCCAGGCCATGCAGATGGAGCGAAAGAGATCTCTTCACTCCCTTCCAGGTAATCTGGCTACGGTGGCAGGGGAGCTCCGTGCCAGGCCGGTCTATCGAGGAAGGTCCACTGAAAGCACCTGTGGCTATGATGCAGAGTATGAAGATGGGGAACCCAATCAACGGCATTCAGGAAGGGCCAATGGGGGAAAACCACCTCCCCCTCCTTGGCAGCCCTCTGAGTTCCAAGCCTACTCCAGCGTCTATGTTGGTGGGGTGATGATGGGTGAAGGTGGCAGTGGAGATGGACGAGGGGGTGGTGGAAGTAGCAGCAGTGGAGTCACAATGAGAGAACATGGTGGATGTGATGATCACCTTCTGACCTGGCCTCGTCGCTCCTATTCCCCAGGTAGCTTTGAGGATGTAGGTGGAGGTGGCGGTTATACACCGGACTGCAGCTCCAACGAGAACCTGACATCCAGTGAGGAGGACTTCTCCTCAGGTCAGTCCAGCCACGTCTCCCCCAGCCCTACCACTGCTTTCCGCCGTCCCTTTAGAGAGAAGAGCCGTTCACCCTCCCAGAACTCCCAGAACTCTCAGCACTCCTTCGACAGCAGCAGCCCTCCGACGCCGCAGTCCCAGAAGCGTCACCACCGGCAACAGGGAGGCCATGTGGTCATGTCTGAGGCTACTATTGTGAGTGTTCGCAAGACTGGTCAAATCTGGCCACCTGCTGCCCATCATGACCTCATGCCTCACTGTAGAACATCCCATGACAACAGTTTCCATGGAGATCACATAGGTGAGTGGTGGCTGCTGTCTGTAATATATGTTTTGTTAGAGGTCAGGTGGGCTGGAGGGCGAAGGACATTTTAGGACATCTTTCTGTGAGGAGGGAGGGGGGAAAAGAGTGAAAGCTTGAGTGAATGAGTATTATTTAGTCATGCTGGAATTATGTTGGTATGTTTTTCTTATGCGTTTTTAGACCCTTCTTCATGTAATTTGTATTTCCTCTTCAAGCCACAAAGCAGCCAAACGTTTTCGTGAGAGATACTGTTAGCACAGTTTTGTGCGTGCACGCAAACACTCTGGACTGTGTGTCCTCTGGACAGCCTTGCGTGGGAGAAAGATGAAAGATCCACCTCTGCTTATTCCTGGAATGTGTGTCGGGTGGGTGAACAGTAAATGTGGTCAGTCTGCATTGAAACGGCAGGTCTAGCCTTTCCCAGATAACTCTTGCGGCTGTTAGTATGTAATTCGAACAACTGTCTGTCTTCCTGTCTGTCTTCCTGTCTGTCTTCCTGTCTGTCTTCCTGCCTGTCTTTCTTTCTTTCAGAATTTCGAAAACTGTCCCTGAACCACAGCCTGAAACTCTTCACCGGCAGAACAAAAGAAATCCAGTCTTATCTTTCCAAACAATTATCTACAATTATCTGCCATATACCTAACAGCTAAACTGCAGCCTTCCAGCTATGGCACCTGTAATAGAAACAGCTAGCAGAGAGATGTGGAGCCTGGAGCTGAAATCATGGGTACTGGCTTACTGAGCTGTCATGCTGAAGCCCAGCAGGAGTGAAGTGTGTTGCTTTGAGGAAAAGCACATTAGGAGGGCACAGTTTACTGTAATTGTGCAGTAAAGTTTCCATTTCAGAGGCTGGGCCAGGTCACAAGAAGGAAAAGCCAAACACTGCTTGGGTAGTTCAAATATTTGATATATATGTATATTTTTCAGATATAGATTGTTGTTTACCAAGGTGTGGTTAGCTGCACTTCCGCTCATTTTGGAGTGTTGTCTCACTGGTTTTCTGCAATGGAAGTGAGGAGTGTTTTAGCACTCACTTGTAACAGATTTAGGACTGGCATCCTGCTTGACCAGACAGGCAGCAGGATGCTGGCATCACACACGTGCTCCAGTGCCAGGATGAACTGGAAAGACAGGAGGAGGTAGTCTGATAGATGGTAAAAAGGGAAAGAAACACAAGCAGTATTATACAGGGGGATCAGAAGAATTGAAAGTTAAAGAGAAAGTGTGAAAGCAAGGAAAGTTTAGGAACAGTGTTGACAGCTGTACAAATACGCAAAAATGTAGCTAATCTAAGTAACATTTCTGTCTACCTTCATTCTCGAAAGCATTATTGTGTGTATACCAGTACTGCTATTTGTCTTAGTATTGTGAATGTTGAACAGGCCTCTTTGCATCTATAATTCATTTATTCGAATTGAACCACTGACACAGTGGTCCTGGTGGGATCAGCTAAAATGCTTTTCCAGGCCGGATGCAATTGTCAAGGTGCGTGATTGCATCCTGTTTCGACAACCACTCCAGAAATACTTGTAGTGAAAGGAAAATATTTTTTTTTTTAAATAGCAAGTAGCAGTTTAGAGCAATGCTAAGCTATTGGCTCT